GTTTCGCTTTTTACTTTGGATCACATAATTGCATAAAAACTATTCTCTGCATTTTGGGGAGCTAAAAAACCCAAAACAAATGCTTATGTTTTTTGCAATCCTGAACTCTGGAGAGCAAGTCTTGGCATGTGCCTTTGGGATAATCACCCCATTTGTATTTCATGAGCCCTAAACACTTTCTGGATGCACAATTTGGTAGCTGCTTCTGCACCCAGAGAGAAGACACCCACAGAAGCACAGGAAGGTCTGAAGACCCTGCAGAGGTCTTGATAGCAAAACCCAATAGCTTGTTTGGGGGGTGAACTTCATTTGTGAGCATAATTAATGCAGAACTTGCTTTTATTAGCTTAAACATATGCTGTGTTGTAGTAGAATTAGAAAGTCTGGAAGCCTTCATTATTTGTTTTAAAAAAAATAACTTCAGCTGAATGTATTAAATGATAACAAGACAGAACTGGCCAACTAACTGCAGAAAAAATATGATTGTTCATGCGCTCAACAACATCCTTTGTTTTTTCTTTACGAATCACACTTTTTCACTGGAAACACATGGGTCTACAATGTAAAAAGAGCAAACAGAAACAACTAAAAAGGAATCATATGATGTCTGGGCCTAAGTATAAAATGAAAGTTCATTATACCAACTCTAGCATTACCAAATGAGGAATAAACTGATGGGAGGAGATAATACTCCCAGACATCTGGACAAATTTTACTGTGGTTGCACCATTACACTCCCAAACTGGAGGAGAATGCATCACAGCATATTTTTTACACATATAATTATGTCTGTGCAATCCAAGGGACGGTAGCAGAAGACATCTATTATAGACCAAATGCATGAGAAACAGGGAAATAGCATATGAGCTCTGAACAAATTCTAAATCTTACTACTGAAAACTTAGGATATTAAGTAAACAAGGACAATTTCCTAAGAGAAATGCTTACAACTTTAACACAGCAATAGAGCAGATAATGGGAAAAATCAACTTGTTGACAACACAAACTCCAACTACATCACATCACAGAATTACACAATTAATATCACAGATTTATGGTGGTTTATGATGGGTCAGTGTCCTTCTAAATGGCCAGAATTGACAATACAGCCAAATTAATATTTGAGTCTTATAAGAAGAGGTCTTAAAGGACCACTCATCACTTCAGTACCAAAAAAAACCTGTACTGAACAAATGCCTTTACAAAATAGCGGAGAGAAAACATTTATTGACCTGCTAAAAGATGTTACAAATTCAGGCCAACAGAGCTGATGATAACATCAAGAGAAGAACAAGACTCAAAATACGCTCAAGTACTTAAGACAGTATTGAATGTTTGACTTTATTCTCTAGGTCAATAAAAACGTACCTCCACTTTCTCCATAACAACATTAAACAGATTCATAAAATAGATTCTGGCTTTCCTCCAAAATCTTCCTGTACTATTTAAAGATTTGCATACAAAAAATCAACCTTTTGGAGATTATTTCCATGTGGGTAATTGCACTCACAAGAAAATGGAGCCTCAGCTCTAGAGAGCAAGCTTAGAGGAAAACAGCTGAGCTGCAAATTGCTGCAAGTGGGAAAAGACACGCTAGGAAGACAAACAGGAATAGAAGACTCAAAACAAAGAAAATCTTTCAAGGTATTGCCGCACAGCAACAGTTAAGAAAAATTGTATTGTTTTCTATAACTATGTGAAAAAATCTGAAAATATACAAAAGACAACATTCAGCACTTGAGTTCAGATACATTTATTATTTATGAGAGAAGAAGTCCCAGTAAATACAGCTCAATCTCATCAAGAAATTACTTGCTCTGTCCCTAACTATGGAAGATCTGTGCCTAGCAAAGCAGGATCAAGTAAATCCAGATTCCAGTTCTTCTCCAACTGCCTCTTAAAAACCATCAATAATGAAGATTTAAAAACATCTCTGTCATCTACTCTAGATCGTAACAATTGCCACAACTAGAAACAATATTCTGGTATCTAACACTGAAGTCTCTCAACAACATTTAAAACTTGTAACTCTTCCTACCTGCAGCACACGTGAAGGAGTTAATCCCACTACTCTGCACAACCATCTCCCACTTTACCTAGGTACTATTTCTTTTGTAGACAAAGTACTAGTGACATGCTTAGCTCTTCCTAACAAGCTGTGTTTCCTGCAAGTCTGGTTACCCAGTCCTCCTGTGGACTTTCTCCAGCTGCTTCTTATTGCATGTAACAAGGAGAAAATTCTCCACCTGCACCAAATTCTCCCTTTGCACTTCTGCTACCAAGAAGTTGCCCTGAAATGGAAAGATCTGCACCACAACACAGCCATGCTAAGACAGGAATCAAAATCTCATCTTGTTCATCCTGTGTCACTCCTGGGTCACAGAGAAGATGATCAGGGCTTTCTCTGCTACCTAATCCTTTAAACATATTGTGAGAGAAATTGGTTAAGCACTTAATTGCAGAAGAGGCTCCAGCTCTGCTACAATTTCCCCCTCAAAGAAAACAGCTGAACAGTGATCAGCACTACACCACCCAATGCCTCTAACACTGATTAGTCAAAAAACACCCAACCCCTATTTTGATGAGGTTATGGAATTAAGCTGGATATAGAGTGGAGATGCTTTCACAACTGAATTCTACTTACCTGCAGCCTCCCCCAATCCTCAAACTTATTTATGGTGATACGAGTGTTAAAAAGTATTTCTACCAAACATAGGCTTCCTTTGTAGAAGTACAGTCCAAGATCCACATGAAGAGATGCCTCCAGGCCACCCTACAAAGGTGCTGGTAGCACACAACAAGGCAAACCAGATCCATAACTTACAAAAATTGAATTTTAACAGCAAATGCCAATCAACCTGATTATTTTTTTAAATCAATCCACAACACCACAGTGTTTTATCACAAAAGATGTGTAACTGCTATCATGGGTAACAGGATGAGAAGCAACCTCCGACCTTCTCCCGTCTCCCCGCTCCAAGCCTTGTTAGACTCTGTGTTGAGCACAAAACAGAGAAGTAGCTGCACTGGTGGAGTAGGTGTTCACACTGGCAAGGAGAGGTGACTTTTTGCTGACTACATTCCACGCTATTCATCTATGGAATATTTTGTAGGGGATAACAGTTCACACAGCTGGTGAGGACACCGTGGGGAATTGCTTGCTGTCTGCAGGAATGGCAAAGCAGCTATTCTGGCTGGCTCTGAAACAGCCCGCTTTCACAGGAAGCTCAACATGCTGAACAGAGACTGCCAAAATAGGGGAAAACAGCTGTGCCAAAATGTCCACGATGAATCTCCATTCCAACACAAAACCAAAGATGTGCCCAACTGAAGGCTGTGGAAGGAGGTGTGAAAGCTCAGGCTTCCATCCTTGGCGATCTGCAGTTACTGAGCTGCTCTCTACTTTCAGGCAGAAGCAACATCCCCCATTAGTAACGCTTTGGTTCATCCTTTGGATTCAACCCAAGACATTACTCCTGTACTAAACCAGCAAGGGCTTCCAAATAATCCTGGCTGTAACCCAACGGGTTGATTTTACCCTAAAAAGTACTCCGTGGCACAGATGTTAGCACTCTGACAGGACATTTGTCTTCCAACACACATGAAAACTGTGCAGTGTCCTTGGCTGTCTTCTGTCCTCAG